GGGTCACTTTTACCTGTTGAGTAAAGTGACCCGACTTGTTAAGGACTTGTTACGATAATAGGTGTGACACAACACGACCCGTTAAGATAACAGGTATTACACGAAAACGACGGACAAAATTTGTTTGCCAGGCCTAATCGCCCCTCATATTCATCTACCAGACTACCACACATGAATACAATAAAAAAATGGCAGAAGAAATACGAACGGGTCTCGGGTTCGAAACTCGCTGCTGGTGTAGAAGCCAGATTTGTGACCAGAGGAGGCTGAAATGCCTCTACACTAGTACAAAAAATAGTATGCCCGACGCAGGTACTTCGTCGTGCAAAGTCAAAAAATGTTGCCTGAAAATTAGCCCAACGAACCTTTGTCATGCGCCAACTGTAGTGCCAATGGAATAAAAGCAGGGTTTGCGTGACGAAGAAGTCTGCTCTCGCAAAGTAGTTTTGCGCAAAGGCACTTTGTTTTTTTGGTCAAAAAATTTTTTGTTTAATTTTTAATAAATATTGTAATTAAATTCTCAACAATAGTTAATAAACCAAGAAAAAAAAGTATTTAATTATAAAATATATGAAAATGTATATACAAGATGTCCGAACATAAAAGAAAAAACTACAACAAGTAGTCATCTAGGTTTGATGCATCGGGCTACTGAGTATCGACTGGGTGATATGGCTGTGAGGTCGAAGGTGGAGCAAGATCAGGTGCTGGCATTGGGATTTCAAGGCCGGACATCTGTAAGTCCCATAAGATCATACTCATCTTCTCGTCCTAGACGATAACTGAGCTACAATCTGGGCTTCTTGGGCCACAATCTGATAGGAAAGTAAATGCTAATATCGTAGCTATTAGGGATGTGATATCCACACACTCCATTTTACTTCTCACACACCTTTGTAATTTTTGACCGTCGGATTGGAGGAATTGAAAATCAACGGACATAAATTATTAAGGGAGTGTGAGAAGTAAAATGGGGTGTGTGGATAGCACACCCTAGACACACCCCAGATATTATTGTACATCATCTGAGACCAGAGAAAAAAAGATAGTATTGGATATTTACACAAGGATTCATCCTGAATGGCAAGCATACCAGTTTTACACTAATGCTGTGTGAATACAGTTCAAAAGATAAGCTCTTATTAACCACCGAAATCCTACTAAACAACAAGCACGTGTGCATGAGCTTCCTTGTATAAATATTCTCACAAGGAACAAAATGGGTTCCAACCATTCCAAAATACCAAAACAAAGATGAACAAATTCAGCCTCTAGACTTGAGCAGCTTAATAAAGAAATAGCTAGCGCCCATTTTGCAACAAGTTAGACAGCACTGGTAACAATCTAAACGAACTGTACAGACACAACCAACTCTCTTATGAGAACAGAACAAGGATCAAATCGAATGCCCACACCCTATCAATTGCACCACTGAATAGTCCTGGATCTATGCTTGGATGGACTGAGACTTGCCCAAGTCAAATATATTTCTATAAGGGCCAGCTCAGCCCATCTGAATCTTAGCCTGACCTGACAACAGTCAGTAACACCAAAAGAAAACCTCATCTCAATCAGCTTTAGGCTAAACCAACAAGGTCGTTTGAGCTACCATCCAACTAATAGTCCTAAAACCTACAAATCATCACAGCCATATATGTCCGAACCTTTAGGAATAATGAGCAACCACCTTGACTATAAAGTGTAAATGAATATCAGATAATATGGGCATACATACACTGATAGTAAGGTCGTATGTAAATAACAACTCTTTCATACACAATAAATAAAGGATCGATGATTCTCCAAAACAATGTCAGGGTAGATTTCTAAAGGGAAATTAAAAAAAAAAAAAAAAAAAAAAAAAAAAAGCATAACATGCGAAGAAAACGAACTTTAGGAGCCCCTCATTCTCACCTCTCTGTTGGCACTTTCCAGGAGGTAATAAACTATTTAATCTGTAAACATAAAATTTACTGAAAATGTTACTTTACTTCTTTCAAATTTAATTTTTTATTTTTTTACATAAAACCCACAATATTCTATTTTTCTAATAAAAAGTTGATATGAACTACAATAATAAATTTAAAACTACCTAATAAATATACATACCATTCAATTTCTACAAAATAAAGAAATTTAAAGCTACTTAATAAATATATATACCATTCAACTTGATGGGATACGCATTCTACGAAATTAGTTTCAATAATCCAACCGTCAAACTTGTTTGCATATACTTGGAGATCGCATAGGCCGAAAATTGCAAAAAAATAAACATTCAGAGAGTAAGTAATGGGACAGAACTTTTCAACGGTTATAAACGAGCCACACTCCTTGAACCCATATGAATACAATGAACAAATTCAATCTTCAATTTAAAATATTTACACTAGTAGATACCACAAAATCTTATGTTGTACTTAATGAAAGTATAAATAAACTCCAAGTGTTAGTGAATCTGTTGTTTTGATGGGATACACATTCTATGAAAACTACTTTAAATGATCTGATGCGAAAATAAAGTAACACACAAATTAAACCCTCTTGTTGACAATTGCAGTATGGATAAGTAGGGATCGTTCTGGACCGGGGATTAGGAAGGATTGCTAATCTACTCTAAAGTGACTCAAAAACTCAAAAACAAACTTAAAAACACTTAACTAGACTCTAATGACTCAAAACAAACTCAAAAGACTCAAAACAGCTTAAAACAACTAAATAGACTCAAAGTAGACACCAGGAATGACTTTGGACGAAAATTGATTTTAACTTGACTCAAAACACTTAAAAACACAAACTAAGACAGATTCTAACTAATTTGACACACTAAAGTAAAGGGGATTGGGTTTTGGATGAATTTAAAGTAAAACTAGTAACTAAAGACTTAAGACAGATTTTGGACGAATTTGGGAAAAAGTATGGGTGATTGGCTAGCTAGAGGGTCATTCTCCACACATGACACACTTGCATACATAATGATTTCTAGCTGCTTTTCAATAAACCATGAACCTCAAAACCCCAGATTAATTAGGTACGCTTAAATTAACCCTCAGATTATCCTTAAATCATTGAATTGGACGGATAACGCATCGGCAATCCAAATTATTCTTCAAAAGTTCCCTACATGAACAGCATAATAGAGATACAATTAAAGATCATGAAGATTTATGAAAATCATAAGCATTGACAAAGCATTCGTAACTATGATGAGCATGATACTCCTACTAGGAATCCACTTAACACGATTGTGACTAGCAACCTTCACTACTTATGAATATAAGTTCATAACGATTAGGTGAAACTCCCTTATATTCTAGCATCAAATTCATGCATGCAAACTAAGTATCCATCCTTAATCCACAAACAAGAATAAGTTTTGAATCAAATGGTTAAGTAAATTGCATTCACAATTTATAGAATCACAACTGGAAGTAATCAATTCATATTGCAAGTATATTCATGGCTTTGAATTTCCCCCTAGCTAAAACGAGTTTAGCTCCTCATGTTCGCAAAACAAAGATACATAAATTTAATCATTGAAAACAAAAGATTGAAAACACCTAGAAACGTTCCAGCAATCCAACTTGAATGGCAAGCACGTCCAAAGGTCCTCCTTCTTCTCTTTGTTGCGGCATAAGGGTTGGGTGAAGGTTTGAGTGGTGGTTTGTATGGGAGAATAGCTGAAAGTATGTATGGTGGTGAATGGGTGTGTTGATGGCTGTGGCAAAGGTGTTTCTGAGTGTATTTGTGATGTTGAATGGTAGATAGTATCCCCCTCCCCCAAAGCTACAACAAGGACTTAAATCTCTCCAATGTATGTCAAAACCCTAGGTAATTAAGGCTAGGGTGCGGCAGACATAAGGAAGAAAGGGAAAGAAAGTTTTTATTAATGTTTTAGGATTTATTACTCTAAATCTATTAGGAAAGGCTAAGTCAAAGTCAAAATCCAAAGGGAAATAGAAATAGGGTGCGGCAAAGGACTTAGGAAAAGGGAAAGAAACCTAAAAAGAAAGGGAAAGTGGTTTATGGCAGAAAATAGGAAAGGGGATGGACTCCTTTGTGCGGCAAGGAAGAGGAATGGTCTAGGGTGGTGTGGCAAGGACTCAAGGGTTTCTAGGAGTCTTTGTTGAGTGTCCTAATGTAACTTGGAGCCTTCTTTGTTGCCGGAACTTAGGGATTTTTAAGGATTAGGATAGTCAAAACCAAAGTAGGAAACCTTGGCTAACATTCCTTCTTTTAGTAGGAATCCTCATTCTTCTAGGAATCCTTCTTTAACCAGGAATCCTTGCATCTTTAGGTCTTCAATTTCGTCCTTCCCTTTTGCTCCAAGCATATGCTATTCATTCCATGCCCAAAACTGCTCCAAAAGGCTCCAAAATGCACTTCTTTGCCTCATTAACCCTTTGTACCTACAAACACACGAAAATGGCTTGAAATACTAAATTAACTAAGAAATAACAACATAAATGCACAAGAACAAGCTAACTAAGTCGCATAAATATGCTCCTATCAAATTCCCCCACACTTAGCTTTTGCTAGCCCTCGAGCAAAACAAAACAAACAAAACAAACAAAACATAACCCAGACCTTCCAACACTTGCCTCAGGGATTTCCAATGAAACATGACATGCCAAAGATCACTACTCCCCACAGATTTTAGTCATCCTTACCCTTGAGCACACACTTAATGATAGTCACCACTTACTAGCTCGCATTTAATCAATTAAAACACATTTTGAATGTAGTGACATGCCTTAGAGAATTCCCTCAATTCCTCACCGGATATACTCTCTATTTTCACACAGACTTTCTAACTACACTCCCTATACTAGGTATATGTGAGAAGATTGATGTAAACATGAAAACTAGTACTCACATATGCTTTTAAACAAAGAAGGCAATTTCTGGAATTATTAATGCATGTATATAAATATGATCTCATGAATGAAATGCTACTACTTAGAAGTGAGAACCAGGGATTCCATATGCTTATACCAACTTCAAACTTCATTGGAGCCCATGGCATGGAGGGGGATGTCCTCCACAACATGCTCCTCAAACAGGTCGTAATAAGGCTTCAAACGGTGCCCATTCACTTTGAATTCTTGGCTGGTCTTGAAAATTTGGATTTGGACTGCACCATAGGGAAAGAAATTAGTAATAACAAACCGTCCAATCCATTTAGAACGTAACTTACCGGGAAACAACCGAAGGCGGGAATTAAAAAGTAACACTTTCTGCCCTATGGAGAATGTCTTGCTACGAATCATCTTGTCATGTAATGCTTTGGTATTTTCTTTATAAATTCGAGCATTCTCATAAGCCTCGTGTCTAATCTCTTCAAGTTCATTCAATTGAAGCGTCCTATGAATTCCAGCCACATCTATGTCCATGTTGAATGTTTTGACAGCCCAATGCCTCTTGTGCTCTAATTCTACGAGAAGATGGCATGGTTTGCCATAGATGAGCCGAAATGGGGACATGACAATGGATGTCTTGTAGGCCGTACGATACGCCCACAGTGCATCATCCAAATGCAAGCTCCGATCTTTCCTCGTTGGTCCCACAGTCTTATCCAAAATCTGCTTGATTTCCCTATTCGAAACCTCGGCTTGGCCACTTATTTGGGGATGATAAGGTGTTGCAACCTTAGGTGTGACATTATATTTCTTAAGTAGCGCCTCGATGGTTCAATTGCAAAAATGAGACCCTCTATCACTTATGAGAACTCTTGGCATTCCAAACCTTGCAAATATGTTAGTTTTAATGAAATGTGCAACCACCTCAGAATCATTAGTACGGGTGGCTTTTGCTTCCACCCATTTTGACACATAATCCACAACAAGCAAAATATAAAGGAAACCATGTGAGGAAGGAAAATGACCCATAAAATCAATGCCCCAAACATAAAAAATTTCAACAACAAGAATGGAGGTTTGCGTCATTTGGTCTCTTTAACCTATACTTCCTGTTCTTTGGCAACGATCACAGGACATACAAAAAGTCTAGCATCCTTAAAGATATTAGGCCAATAAAATCCACATTCTAAAACCTTGTGTGATGTGCGTTGTGTGCCAAAATGACCACCGCATGCATATGTGTGACAAAAGGTTAAGATTGAATGAAATTCGGACTCATGCACGCACCTACGCACAATCTGATTAGGGTAAAATTTCCACAAATATGGGTCATCCCAAACATAAAACCGTGCATCATGTGTAAGTTTATCACGTTGGTGCTTGTTTAGGTTGCTTGGAACTTGTTTAGACACCAAATAATTCACCAAATCAGCATACCAAGGTTCACTTACCTCAATGGACAGCAATTGCTCATCAGGGAATGTGTCTTGGATAGGCACGACATTGGCATCCTCTTCATGTACCATTTAGCTCAAATGGTCAGCCACCACGCTTTCACTTCCTTTCTTGTCCCTAATTTCAATATTGAACTCTTGGAGAAGAAGCATCCAACGAATGAGCCTTGGTTTAGCTTTTTTCTTTGTAAGCAAATACTTCAAAGCTACATGACTAGTGAAAACAACAACTTTAGTGCCAATTAAATAAGAAGGAAACTTATCTAATGCACACAACAGCAAAAAGTTCTTTTTCAGTGGTGGAGTAATTCAATTGGGCATCATTCAAGGTTCGGGATGCATAATAGATGACATGTGGCTGCTTGTTATTCTTTTGGCCTAAAACAGCTCCAATTGCATAATCTGATGCATCACACATTAGCTCAAAAAGAAGGCTCCAATCTAGTGGAATGATGATGGGGGCCGAAGTAAGCATGTTCTTGAGGTGTTTTAAGGCCTTTTCACATTCCTCATTGAACTCAAATGCCACTTTTTTTTGGAAGAGACGGCATAGGGACTGTGCAATCTTTGAAAAATCCTTGATAAATCACCTATAGAATCCTGCATGACTAAGAAAAGAACGAACCTCTCTCACCGAAGTAGAAGAGGGTAAGTAGTGTACAATATCTATTTTTGACTTATCAACCTCAATTCCTTTTTCAAAGATTATGTGACCTAAAACTATGCCTTGTTTCACCATAAAGTGACATTTCTCTCAATTTTAATCAAGGTTAGTTTCAATGCATCTTTTCAATATTAAGGTCAGATTATCCAAGCAATCATCAAATGACTTACCAAACACACTAAAATCATCCATAAAGACCTCAATGATCTTTTCAACATAATCTAAAAATATACTTACCATTCATCTTTGGAATGTGGCTGGTGCATTACATAAACCAAATGGCATGCGATGTTAAGCAAAGGTACCAAAGGGACACGTGAAAGTGGTATTTTCTTGATCCTCCGGGGCCATTACAATCTAATTATAACTAGAATAACCATCAAGAAAACAATAAAATGCATAACCAGCTAACCTTTCAAGCATTTGGTCAATGAACGACGAAGGGAAGTGATCCTTTCTTGTGGTGGCGTTGAGCTTCCTATAATCAATGCAAACTTGCCAATCGGTTTGAATACGTGTAGGCACAAGCTCATTCTCTTCATTCTTCACCACAGTGACTCCAGACTTCTTTAGAACCACTTGGACCGGCGAAACCCATTGACTATCAGAGATTGGATAGATTACTCCACAATCAAGTAGCTTGATTATCTCATTTTTCACAACTTCCATCATTAGAGGGTTGAGTCGGCGTTGAGCTTCCTGTGATGGTTTAGCTCCTTCCTCCAAGAGTATACGATGCATGCAAGTTGTAGGACTTATACCCTTGATGTCGGCCAAGGTTCACCCAATGGCTGTTTTGTATTCATTCAACACTCTCACCAACTTTTCTTCCTCTTGTGCCGTGAGTGTGGAAGACACTATGACATGCAAAGTCTCTTGTTCTCCTAAGAAGACATACTTCAAATGGCTTGGTAATGGTTTAAGTTCAAAGGAAGGTGGCTACAGAACTGAGGGTAACATCTTATTAGTAGAAACTGAACTTGAAATTGGGAGCAAAAGCTTATCATTTTGTAGTGGCAATGACTCTAGGGTAGCCACCATCTCAATCACATCTTCACTAGGGTGCACGACATGGGAGTTGTCATGCATGTCGTGGGTAGGCATTGCTGCATTACCTTGGTTTTTAAATCCCATCCCCTTTGTAATGACCATTTCAAGTGCATCTTCATTCAATTGTTCAAGATATCCCTGGGCCAATGAATCAATTACATCAATAGAAACAAGAATGATCATCACTAGGATACTTTATAGTTTCAGAAAGATTGAAATCAATAACTTCCCCATAAAATTCCATGGATAACATCATTTTGAACACATCTATCTTGGTACAGGCTGTTTTCATGAATGGCCTTCTAAGTAGAATCGGCAATGAAGAAGCATGGGCTGAATCTTCCATCTCGAGCACATAAAAATCAGCCAGAAAGATTACGTGATTAACCTGCACTAAAACATCCTTTAAAACTCTTTTTGGATAAGCATTAGATTGATCGGCTAATTGAATAATCACACCATCATTTTTTAGCTCACCTAAGTTCATAAAGCATAAATTGAATAGGGCATGACATTTATTGATGCACCTAAGTCTAACATGGCATGTTCAAAGCGAGTATTACCAATAGCACAAGGAATTGTAAAACTACCTGGATCTTTGCATTTCGGGGGCAGTTTACGTTGCAAGATGGCTGAAACATTCTCACCTACCTTTACCACCTCTTTGTTCGAAATCTTCTTTCTTGTTGTGCAAAGTTCTTTCAAGAATTTGGCATACTTAGGGACTTGTTTGATTGCATCCAAGAGTGGGATATTGACTTGAACCCTTCTAAATGTCTCAAGAATGTCTTTGTAACCTTCTTCCTTCTTTGTTTGCATGAATCTATGAGGGAAGGGTACATTGGGTGGAATAGGGTTAGAATTAATTGAAATTGGACCTGCCTTACCTGTGGTGGATGGATTGGATGGATTAGGGAGTATATGAGGCTGCGGTAAGGGTGCTTCCTTCCTTGCCGTGGGCTTGTCTTGCTCATCCTCCTCGAATTGCAACCTCTCATCCTATTTTTGTGCTGATTTGGATGTTTGTGGATCAGTTCTTACCTCTTTTCCACTTCTTAACATGATTGCTTTGGCAGATTCAAAGCCTCATTTTGGATTAAGAATAGTGGAGCTAGGTAGTTTTCATTCTTCTCTAAACTGCCCCATAAACTCTGAAATATGCCTAATTTGCTTCTTGACTTCATTAATCTCTTTGGCTTGATTTTGTGGCCCTGCGTTAATGAAGTTAGTAACTTAAGAAGTGTATCATTATCCAAAGACGTACCTGAGTTGGTTTAGGCAGATTGTGATGAAGGTTGTGGTGGTGTGTATGGCCTTGGAAACATCCCAGGGGGTGGTTGTCGAAATCCTCCTTGTTGGGCAGGTTGTTGTGGTTCTTTCCACTTGAAATTTGGATGATCTCTCCACCCTGGATTGTAAGTGTTGGAGTAGGGGTCATTGCGTGGCTGGTTTGGTCCTTGATACCCTACGACATTGAGGGTTTCCCATCCTCCATTTTCAATCAATTGCGGGCATTCGTCATTGAGATGTCCTTGCATCGAACATACTCCATATATGGTTGCATTTTGCATTTTAGATCCATCTACAACCTGTGACACAAGGGTAGTGAGGTTAGCTAATTGAGATTGAATTTCAGAAATTGCACTTACCTCATTAACTTGGGGTTGTTGCCGTGGGGGCTCCCTTTGTCCAACACCTTCATATTGTTGTGCATTCAAGGCTCGGTTGGTAATTAGGGTCTTGGCAGCCACGGGTGTTTTTTCCACCACAGCACCACCCGCTGAGGCATCTAGCATTTTTCATTTAATGGGAAGAAGTCCTTCGTAGAAGTATTGAAGAAAAGCTCTTCTTTCATTTAATGTTGAGGACATGATGCAACAAGAGCCTTGAAACGTTCGTAGTATGCCGGAAAGGATTCTCCTTGATTTTGTTGAATGCCACTAATCTGTTTCCTCAAAAGAATGATTCTTGATGTGGGAAAAAACTGATCTAAGAACGCTCTTTTCATGCTCTCCCAAGATGTAACGACATTGACTGGGGTCATGCTTGAACAAACCACTTCAAATTCTTTCAAGTGCTTGTTTGGATCCTCCATAGACAGCCCATGGTACTTGGGAATGTGGTGCAATAAACTGGACTTCAACTCGAACTCTTTAGCTTTCCCTGGAGTTGCCGTGGGGTATTGGATGCATAGGGGCATGGCATTGTCCAATCCCGAAGCGGAAAGCTCTTTGATTATTCGATTGTCGGCTGCCATGACTTGTTCTTCTTCTAAAGCCCTTACCGTGACCTCTTCCTCCTCTTCTACTTCTTGTTCTTCAAGCTCAGGTTTAGGGCTAGATGGATTAGGATCTTGCTAGTTTCTCTTCCTTCTCAAAGTCCGCTCAAAATTGTCGTCAAAGTCAAAGATGTGCTCACGAACCGATTGAGAACTCTGAGTCATAAACTAGTACCTAAAAACAAGTAACCAAAACAAGGTCAGAAACCAGAAACAAAAACACACGAAAATAAAAAGAAATAACGAGGGATTAGCAAAGTTGCTAATCCCCGGCAATGGCGCCAAACTTTGATGCGAAAATAAAGTAACACACAAATTAAACCCTCTTGTTGACAATTGTAGTATAGATAAGTATGGATCATTCTGGACCGGGGATTAGGAGGGATTGCTAATCTACTCTAAAGTGACTCTAAAACTCAAAAACAAACTTAAAAACACTTAACTAGACTCTAATGACTCAAAACAAACTCAAAAGACTCAAAACAGCTTAAAACAACTAAATAGACTCAAAGTAGACACCAAGAATGACTTTGGACGAAAATTGATTTTAACTTGACTCAAAACACTTAAAAACACAAACTAAGACAGATTCTAACTAATTTGACACACTAAAGTAAAGGGGATTGGGTTTTGGATGAATTTAAATTAAAACTAGTAACTAAAGACTTAAGACAGATTTTGGACGAATTTGGGAAAAAGTATGGGTGATTGGCTAGCTAGAGGGTCATTCTCCACACATGACACACTTGCATACATAATGATTTCTAGCTGCTTTTCAATAAACCATGAACCTCAAAACCCCAGATTAATTAGGTACGCTTAAATTAACCCTCAGATTATCCTTAAATCATTGAATTGGATGGATAACGCATCGGCAATCCAAATTATTCTTCAAAAGTTCCCTACATGAACAACATAATATAGATACAATTAAAGATCATGAAGCTTTATGAAAATCATAAGCATTGACAAAGCATTCGTAACTATGATGAGCATGATACTCCTACTAGGAATCCACTTAACACGATTGTGACTAGCAACCTTCACTACTTATGAATATAAGTTCATAATGATTAGGTG